ATTTTACCAAGTCTATGGTAACTTCATCCGGCCCCGGGCTGTCATTGCATTTCAGCCGTTTGATCACAGTGTTGAAATCGTCAAATTAAAAGCGATTAGTTAGCTGTTAACTGCTGCCAACATCTGGGAGCGAAGACTTCTTACGTTCTTGTGCAACTTCTGATTTTTCCATTGCACACTCGTCAAGTATTCTGCTGCCGCTGCAGGGAAGCTGCTTTCAGGGATGAGGTTGTCTTTCTTATCCTTGAATTGTGTGCCCTATGCCTTGGGAAGAGCTTTCTCATTCTTTTTCTGCCCTTCCACTTATACCCTTGAGCATCCATCTCGTCGATTTGTTGCAGCATAATCATTTGTATCGGATGCTCTTTTTGAGATGCTACTTCCGGGTTGCCCGCTTGAATGTGCTGTCGCTTCTGCGGAATCGGTTTTACTTTGCACCGGAGGACATTTCGTAAATGCCTTGCTGAATTCGGCCCATAGCTTCAGAAGGTCGTCTGTACACTGGAGGAGCCTGCTATGCTGAAGCAGTTCCGAAACATGCGTGTTGTAGCTCTCCATCTGATTTTGGGTGGGAAATCTATATTTTGGGCATTTCCTCGACTCACCGCTTTGCCAAAGCGGTCCTGCCTGCTCCACCCACACCTCCTCCTCTCCCCCACCCCCCTTTCCCCCCCTCGCCCTCGCCCCACTCGATACGCGTTCAACTCGCGAAAATGCTCCCCCGAATCAAGGATCTCAACTCACTCAGTTCTCGGTCGGTCAACAATTGCTCGGCCAAATGGTTGGCTGAGTAATCGCCAGTTGTGACCACATGAAGATCTCGCGTAAACGAACGGGCTTGTTCAACACACTTGGCATGCATGTTGTCGCGAATAGAATGTCTATATGTATCTGCGCCCCCTAAGCAGACTCCCTGTGCGGGGTCGGCGACAGCGGCGCAGCCCTTAAATCGGGCAGCGCTCGGTCCCCGAGTGCGTGCGCCCTGCTGGTCCGAGCCTCAGGCGACCTGTAGCCTTGCTAACTTTGCTTTAGCAAAACGACCGCCGGTCCCGCCGACCCCACCTAATTTTATTTTTTTTGCGGCATTTTTGGGTCCATGGATAGCCCCGAAAGGGCGCGCATCATGAGCATCAGCGTGGTTCGGCGCACCCCAAAGGGCGCGCATCATTAGCATCAGCAAGGTTCGGCGACGGAGGTGGGTGGGTGGCCTTAGCCTTGCTCCAGGCTTCTACCTGAGCTGATCGCCGGTGGGCGCAACCCCTAGAATCAAGAAATATAGTCCAACTGGGCGAAAAGCAAGTCGTGAGAGGTTCCGGAAAGCAGCGACTTGTGGCATTATCCGGGATCCGTTTACTGGACCATGTAAGCGAGGCACGGCTGAAAGTCATGTTCAAGGAGCGAGAAAAAGGTGTAAACACAGGGTTAAAGATTGGATTAAACATACTCGGGCTGTGTGGCACTCAAGGAACCATGCATGTTCAAACATTGGCTTAGACGTATTCGCCATGGCCCGGCACAAGGGTGTGTATCCTGCGCAAGATTGCCGCAGAGCAGAGCAGGGGCAGCCTTTCTCTGGCAGTTATTCTCTCTATCTGCAGCTGTTGGGTACACTAACCGCCCATCCTCCTTTGTGCCCTGAAGGCGGCGAGGGAGGATCTCGGTCAAGGCGAGCACCGCAATGCCCGGAACCTGACTACTAGTAGCTACAGCTTCGGCCATTTCGTCTGCGAGTTGTCCTCCTGTGGCCCCAGCGACAGTGCTGCTCCTCACCTGACGCTACAGATGCCCCGGTGCCTGCAGCAGAGCCTGTGCCAGGGCGCGCCTGAGCCGCCAAGGGCTGGAAGACGTCCAGCTTCCGATGCAGCTTCGGCCTTTGCAGGTCGCACAGAGAAGCGAAGCGAAGGAGCGAAGTCGACAGGAGGGTGACGCTCTCTGGCGCCCGACTCGTGCACGTCGAAAGCCCGGGCCAGGATGGCCAACTCCATGGGTTCGAGCAGATGCAGGGACTTCAAACACCTTGAAAAAAGGGAGGGAGCATCTGGAAGAACGGGGAGCCCACGGCAGAGCGCGAGGCCTCTTGGAAAGAACCTCAGCCAAGAGCAGAGAGCAGAGCGAGGAGCAAGCGAGATGGAAGGGAAGGGAAGAGCCGAGAAGAGAGAAAGAAGGAGAAGAGCCTAGGCCTAGGCCTAGAAGTGCGCAGAGCCAAGGGATCATGGATCTCTTGATTGATTTGCTTTTGGCGTGTTGGAGACGAAGGGAGGGCGGAGAGGGGAATACCGATTCACGAAGTGAAAAAGTTCCTCTCCACAAGACTCTCTCCCTGAGCACCTCCCAGAATGCTTTGGGGAAGTCCTTGCTGGGCGTGTCGATCACTTCCTGCCGTCATTCCGGAGGCATCGTCGGAGTTCGAAACATGATCTGCCTGCAACGTCTCGAGGAGCTTGCGTCGATCAGCCATAACCAGGACTTCCTCACGCCGCAGCACCAGTGGCCCACAAACTGCTCAGAAGCCGCGAAAGAGAAAGAGATTCTCACGACCAGGCTTCGGACATTGTAGTGCCGCTTCCTCAAGAGCACAACTGACTCCTGCCCCTCACATCTTCTCTTCGGTGGTTCGCTTTGTTTGCTTAGGCGCCGACTTCCACTTGAGGCGTTTCGCCTTGAAGCGGTACAGGAAAGGGCCGTCGGTTGTGGCGAATGTCCTTTTGGAACCAGGCTGAGCTATCGGAGCCATCGGCTCTCGCAGTGACAAGTGTGTCCGTGTTTCGCCAAGAAACGTGTGAGTCTGCAGAGTCCCAACACGAAGAAGAATCTTGAAACACGACGGAAGCCCTGGTACGAGGTAAACACTGAACGTCATCTCATCCCATCCACACACCCCATCCATCCATGCACCCCTGCATCATCAATCAATTCATCCATGCATGTGTTCAGTCGTCCGTCTGCCTATCCATTCATCCGTCCATCCTTCATACGGCCGGTGGGAGGGGAGGGGCGGGTCCTGCACCAAGTCGGTGCCAGTATCCGGCCCAGGAAGCCTGGAGAATTCGGCTCTCAGCGGCGGCCTTAGGAGCTCCCAAAGCCCCAGCCCAGCCTCGGAAGGCCATGGCTCAGCTCAGCTCATCCCATGGGTCGTGAAGAGCTGGGGAGGTTGCGGAAGGGATATGAGGGCTTGCGGCCTGGGGCTTGTGTTGAAACAGCTGTTCCAGATGGGCCGAGAAGCTTCCGGATTCTCACTGGCAGTCGGACGAGAACTGTAACGATCCAAGCGTGCAGCCGGGCTTCCGCACCTCTTGCAACATTGACATAATGCAGGTGGAAAAGGCCGCCACGAAGGCGGTGACCAGGCCCTGTGACCCGAATTCCGTGCTTGTCACCGCTGCTGTGCTGGGCTGCGCTATGCTGCACCGTCCTCGGTGCACTCGCCGCCGAAGTCCCGGTGATCTGGCGGTCCCTCGAGGCCGGGATCCAGGTGCACCAGGCCTGGGCCACCCCGAGAAAGCGCGTAGGTTCCGAAGCTCCTCCGTCTCTTAAGCCTCTCCCTCCCTTACTCCCTCCCTTACTCGCTTTTGCTCTCTTGGGCCCTGGCCGAACTCCTTGGATGGGTGGCGCTGAGCGCTGGGCGAGTTATTGGAGGAGGCAGCCTGCACTCGCCCCTTGTCCTTCGTGAAAGGGAAGCAGAGTCCTCCTTGGCCCCGCGCCTCGTTGAGGAAGTCCTGGGACTGCTGGCCTGGCACCACTCTGAAGGACAAACAAACAAGACACTTCGGATCCCGTCCCACCATCCCGGCCTACCAACGTCGTCTTCGGCCTCGAAGGCCGCATACAACGGCCGAAGGTGCGAGGAGCCAGGCAATGCAGTGCGGATGCCAGTGCCTCGGGCTTTTCTTCTCACAGGAGAGAGCGAGAGCGAGAGAGAGAGAGAGAGAGAGAGAGAGAGAAAGAGAGAGAGAGAGAGCAAAATTAAAAGACAGACCCTGTCCCCTTCCATTCCGTCTGTGCTCAGTACACTGTGCCCTCGCTGTCGCTCCCACAATGTACTAATGTTCCTCCAAGCCACCGCCGCCAGTCCTCTAAGCCTCCGGGCAGAGCTGCTGAAAGGGAAAGAGCCGAAAGAGCTCTACTTCCCTGGATCTGCCTCTCGTTCTGTCTCGCTCCACAGGCAACAACCTGGCCTGCTCCCACGGGGCTGGGACGGCAGCATCTTTTTCCTGTCAGGCGGGGCGACGCGGGGAGTCCGGTGTGAAAGGCGCCGGCACACACCCGGCCTGGTTTGGATTGAGTCCCTTCTTCGATATGCTTGCCGCAAACTGAAAAGTGCCCCCGAGCTTGAATGGCCCAGAGCAGCATTGGCATGACACTGCACAAACCAAGCACATACCGCCATAGGTTGCCATGTAGTGGCTTATCGGATGCGATGCCAGAGGAAATTCCCAGAGGCGGCGAGTTTTGCCTCAAAGTCATACTGTACACTGTTTACACAGCGTGCGATTCTTGGTACTGTTGCACTGCCGGCCGCTGTTGTAGCGGTCTTAGCTGGTGCGTCTTGGAATCCCCAGAACGACACCGAATCGTTGGCTTCGCCTGCTTCGTGTGCCGCAGCCCGGGCTTCAAGTCTCCGTTCACGGAGGCATGGCCGCAATGCTGGCAGCAAAACAATGCAAGGCCCCTAAGGCCCTAAGATGCCTGTCAGAGTCACTGACACTGCATTGCAAATAGCTGACTAGCTGTCTCCATTCAGTGGCTCTTCAGTGACTCTTCCGTCCTCTGTTGGAGGACTTAGGACCACAGGCAGTTTGACAAGCGATTTGCATCCGGATTTTACAAACACGCTGCAAGCCCGAAGCACGAATTCGGGTTAGAAGTGCTGGCTCGCTGTCATCGCCCAATGCGCTCCAGCTATGGCGGCCCTGGCGCATGGGCGCATGTGGTACGCATACCGCAGTTTCTTGACTCGGAAGTCCGTGAAGTCCGCAAGCCGCAGGCACCTATGCTGTACCTCATCGGCTCCGCGACTCCTTCTCCTCCACGCCGCTGATCCCCTCCAGAGAAGGGTAGGACAAAAACCGCGCAGCCGCACAGCCGCCGCGCAAACGCGCCTCCCTCCTGGCCAGCTCCTCGAGCCTCGATGCTGTCGACAGCGGGGATCTCTGGGCGCTCTCTCCGGGGCGGGCACACTTCTTTGGGCTCGATCCCCATCGACGCCCATAGAACCAGAAGATGGAAGAGCTGCGCAGGGAGAACAGCAGAGCCAAGCGCCCCAACGCCCAAGCGAAAGTATTGAAGCCTTGAGCCTACTTTGCCGTAGGTCCATGCACGTACCGATCTTCACTTGGAGGTGAGGGGTGGGGGAGAAGAAGTAATCTGCGTCTCAGGCTTTTGGTTGCTCACTGGGTTATCTGCATCTTTTTATCTTGGTTATCTGCGTCTTTTTCTCTCCGGGTTTGGAGACTAGCCTAAGCAAAAACAGAAGAGTTCGATTCCGGCTCATCACATGTCCTTAACCATCCTTAACCCGCCCCCTGATTTGGAGATTCCGATTCGTCGAAGGTCTTAAGTCTTAAGCCGTTGGAGATTCCGGTTCATCATTTCCTTGTGGCCCGGGGGGGACGAAAGCTCAGCATGGCTCTTGCCTATGCCTGCTCGCGCTGCTCTGCGGAATTCTGTGGATGTTTCGGCTGCCCTGATGATCAAGGTGTGACACAAGTCTCCAGCTGGAGACATATCACAGCTCACTGAAACCTCCGCTTATGCAGCCTCACAAAGTCAAACCTCAGCGATCCGCGAAAAACTTTCCCATCGACAGCTACAGACACGTTTCTTCCCCCCCACCCCGCCACCGAGGCCACCAGGCACAAGCATCATGAGCATCATTGGGGTCTCGTTTCTCCACAAAGGCCTCTCTCCACAGATCATGCAGCCCCGAAAAGAGGCAATCGGCAACGCCCTAAATCCCGCCATAGCATGTGGGATCCACACCCGCTCATTTGGCGAATCCGGTTCATCATATCTCTTAAACACGCCCGCTCATCTGGCGATTCCACCACTCGGGCGTTCATTTTCTATCCGAAACACACACCCTTATTTGGCGATTCCGGTTCATCATATATGATTTATGATCTAAGAATCTAAAAAACGCTGCCTCATTTGGCGACTCCCGTTCATCACATATGATCCCGGTTCTCGGTTCACCGACCCACCCCTACGGGCCCGGTTCCAGACAGACCAAATC